AAAACATCGAATGTTAAAGCACTCACCAACATACGCCCAATAACCTCAGGAGGTTCTACATTGAGTCTTGGTCTAGGCCGGTAGGTTGATCTTCCTCACCAACTCACATTTCACACTGCAAAAAGAAAACTGTGATTGCGAACATGCATCTGAGAGGATAGCTGTATTCGATCACTTCCATGGCTAAATGTTAACTTGTCATTTTGATTTTGAAAATACGTTCAAAATAAGTCCCAGAGTTAAGCATATGAGTGTACGTTTCCTGAGTGCTTGCAAAGCCACTTACGGTGGTCAAGCTGGCAGAGCAATCATCTTAAGGCATGTGACAAAAGGCAGAGGACATTATTTTAAAATTTATTTTGGATGGGGGATCTCGCTCTGTTGCTTGGGCTGCAGTGCAGCGCCGTGATCACAGCTCACTGCAGCCTTGACCTCCCGCTCAAGCGATCCTCCCGTCTCAGCGTCCCGACTAGTTGGAACTACAGGCACGCGCCACTACACCCCACTGACAGAGGACATTTCTGATAAGGTTTAGTTTCACAAGTGGACTCCACATGAAAACACTAGTGAATCACAATTCCCGTGACTGCTGCTTTTGGCACACTCCCACTTACTACGGCCATTCACCCCCTTAAATCAAGTTTGGTTGAACCACACAGCCTCACCCAGTCCTTCCCATTGTTTCTGGACCATCCATGGCGGAGGTGAGACCTTGCAATGCTTCTCACTCAGGCGCTACTCACTCCACACCGCTAAGGGGTGCTCACCAGCCTGCAGCATTCCCAGGTTGCAGGCCTCTTCTTTGCAGCCCACCTCACCTCTGCCAGGGGCCCCATTCAGGACTCAGGAATGTGCCCTGTGTCGGGGGTTCCCGGCACCTCGGGACTTCTATCCCTCCAACAGCACCCCCAGTACTCACCCATCTTCACCTGAGCCCCTGACCGCCTTCCCTCCACAGCCTACCTTACTCCCTGTCCTGGCCCCTTCACAACCACAAAGCTGATGGTCCGGTCGCAGACTGTGAGAAGGAGGAGGAGGATGACCTTGAGGCCCTTCTCCCTCAAAGGCCACAGACCATCACACCACGGGACCCACCGGACTCGCCTGAAGCCCACTGGCTCCTCCTCTCCCTCACTCACACTTCAACTTCCAGGAGGACTGGCCTGTGGACCTACCAGATGAATCTCAGTAGAGGAAAAAGTGTCCAGATGGCAGGAATGCTACTGCACACCCTCACAGCTCCCTGGCGTTCTCCACGTGGGCTAAGGGGCAGACGGGAAGACGCCCAGTGAACATGCGCACTGAGACAGGTGCCCAGGGAGCATGCGTGGCTACGGGGCAGGAGAGGGCAGCAGTCCCCAGTCCCACACCCGAAACCCCCGATTCCCATCCCCATTGAGGATAATGGAATCCGACCTCCCTCTGCTGTTTCCTATGCCTCTGGGACTCAAATATCTCAGACAGTGCTCCCCTCAAAACTCACTCCATCTTCAACTGAACCCCCTTCCCCTCCAGGGCTCTCTCTTGCCCTGGCCCCACCATGGTGACAAGGACCATGCTGGCTGCCTGTGAAGAGAAGTAAACCACCTGTTAAAACAGAAATACCAACTTACCCCATAACATTTACACAAGATCAAGAGTCTCATAACCTGATATTCAAAATGTCCAGCATGTAAATTGAAATTACTCAGAATATGAAAAACCAGGAAAATAGGGGAACTCAAATGGGGAAAGAAAATGCACCAACACCAATGCTAAATAGACATGTTGGGATTATCTGGCAAAGCCTTTAAAGATGCTATTTTTAAAATGCTTAAACAAGCAATCATGAACACTTTTGAAACAAGTAAAAACAGAAAGCCCTGGCACAAAAAAAGAATATTTAAAGAAGAAACAAATGGAAATTTTAGAAGTGGAAAATATAATAACCATGGAAATAAATTCTCACTGAATGGATTCAGTAGCAGAATGGAGGCAAGAAAAGAGTTTGTGAACTCAAAGAGATAAATAGAAATCGTTCTATCTGGCCAAGAGCAGTGACTTTTACCAGTAGTACTAGTATTTTTGCAGGCTGAAGTAAGAAGATAGATGGCTTGAGGTTAGGCGTTTGAGACCAGCCTGGGCAACATAGTGAGACTCATCTCTACAAAAAAAAAATAAATAAATAACAACAGCCCAGGCCCAGTGGCTCACGGCTGTAATCCCAGCACTTTGGGAGGCCAAGGAGGATATATCACCTGAGGTGAGGAGTTCAAGACCAGCCTGGCCAACATGGTGAAACCCTGTCTCAACAAAAATTACAAAAATTTAGCCAGGCATGGTGGTAGGCACCTGTAATCCCAGCTACTAAGTGAATGAGGCAGGAGAATTGCTTGAACCTGGGAGGCAGAGGTTGCAGTGAGCTGAGATCATGCTGCTACACTCCAGCCTGGGTGAAAGGAGCAAGACTC